CTCATCCCGGCGCCCGGGGAGGCGGGCTCGCCCCGCCTCACAGAGGGCCGGGTCCTGGCGCGCCCGGAGACCCCGAGTTATCCCAGAGAGCGGGGACGAGCCGCAGCGGGCCTGCGGCGGGGCTGAGGGGCGGGCACGCACAGAACGAGGACGGACGGCCGTCGCCTCGGGTTCCTTCCCGCCCGCGGGGTTAGGCGGAGGGCGCTTCGTCATCGCGCGCAGAGGAGGTTGGAACCGGCTGCTCTCGAGGTGGCTGTCCACGCCCTACCGAGCCCGCGGAAGCCTGGTGCGCGGAGCTTCGACACGGGTGACTCCGCTGTGATCTCCAGTCCAGAACAGTGGTCCCGGTGGTTTTGTGTGACAGTGTCCTCCGAGAACACTCAGCCTCAGCACCAGATCACAAGTGCCGTGACTTGGTGCAGGACTTTCCAGTGGCACGTGAGGTGCTTCGTTGTAGTGAAGCGGGACTTTCGGGTTGGTGGGTTTTGGAGATCGTCTGAGTCAGTTTCATTTTGTGGTTGAGCAAAGCAGAGCATGAGCGTTTTGGTCAACAGACAGGACTTTAGCTAGAAAAAGATGTGCTCGAGTTCGTAGTATTGGTCCATTTCTGTTGCTGTAACCGAGTGCCTGAAACTGGGTGACTTGTAAAGAAATGAAACATTTTTTAGTTTCGGAGGCCGGGAAGTCCACAGTCCAGGTGCGCATCTGGTGAGGGCCGCCTCTGGGTGGGAACAGCACAGGGCCCCGTGGCGACCGGGCTGTCACATGGCGAGAATGACAAGAGCGCTCTTATGTGCTACTTGTAGAGCCACCAGTCCACAGCCATGATAACTCATTATCCATGAGTGGATTAATCCATCACGGGGGCACAGCGCTCGTGATCCGATCCTCTCTCCAAGGCCCCACCTTTCAGATACCATACTTGGATTTCCCACTTTTGGGAAGATGGAACAGTTTAATCAGGCCCTCTCGCCTCGGGCAGGTTGGGGGTGGTGCGGCGCATTCTTTGTGGATAGGTTGTGTGTGGGTGGTCGCCACCTTGACTGGGGTTTACTGCCTGGGGCGACTGCTGCCCCGTGCAGCCAACCTTTCCAACCTACGGCTTCTAAGGAACTGTTTGCCGGTTACCTAGCTCATAGACCTAGCTGGGTCTGGTGACCCAGCCTGGCTTGTGAAGGGTTTGCGATCCAGTCTGGACAAGGGGCTTGAGGCGTCTGTGAGCTCCAGACCCAGCCCTCGCTCAACAATTGATCCAGTCCGCAGGATTACCAGTAGGTAACAGCTCGAAAGTTGGCGACCTCGGCAGGATTCCGACATTAGCAGAAGCTTCACACCCACCCTCCTAACACTCTCTCAGTGAGGATCAGGTTTCCAACACATGAACTTTGGGGAACACGTTTGACCCATAGCATTCATCTTTGTCTTGGATAAATAATCTCTGTACACTTTAGTTTCTTCATCTGTGAAATGGAGATGAAGAAAAAATTATTTGTATGTCACAGGCACATACTGTGCACTTGAGAAATCTTGGTCCTTACTGTAGTTGCTAACCTCAGCCATTGACTCCTACACCAATTCCCAACAATCAATCTTTTTGGCAATTATGCCTCTCAGACATAAAACAGTTGCTTAACTTGTCACAAATAGTTTATTAACAGAGGAGTTGCGGGCCAACCCCGTGGCGCACTCGGGAGAGTGCGGCGCTGGGACCACAGTGGCGCTCCCGCCGCGGGTTCGGATCCTATATAGGGATGGCCGGTCCGCTCACTGGCTGAGCAGGCGCGGGAGACACCAAGCCAAGGGTTGCGATCCCCTAACCGGTCACACACAAAAAAAGAGGAGTTGGGCTGAGCCAGTGGCGCACTGGGAGAGTGCGGCGCTGGGAGCGCAGCGACGCTCTCGCGGCGGGTTCGGATCCTATATAGGGATGGCCGGTCCGCTCACTGGCTGAGCAGGTGCGGGAGACACCAAGCCAAGGGTTGCGATCCCCTAACCGGTCACACACAAAAAAAGAGGAGTTGGGCTGAGCCAGTGGCGCACTGGGAGAGTGCGGCGCTGGGAGCGCAGCGACGCTCTCGCGGCGGGTTCGGATCCTATATAGGAATGGCCGGTGCGCTCACTGGCTGAGCGGGGTGTGGGCGACACCATACCAAGGGTTGCGATCCCCTTACCGGTCACACACACAAAAAAAAGAGGAGTTGCTCCAAGCTAAGACATAAGAATCAAATGTCTCCAAATAATTTATTAAAACTAGGCATTCTTTTTACATTTTTGTAAAAATTATATAACAAAATATATGACTGTAGCCATTTTTAATTGTAAATTCAGGGGCATTAAGTACACTCATATTGTGCAACCATCACCACTATATATCTCCAGATAACCTCTTTAAATAAAAAAAAATTTTTTTGTTGAGTTGGAGTGCAGCCTTATAACCCCAAAGTCACGGGTTCAGATCCCCATACCAGTGAGCTGCCAAACCAAACAACAAAAAAAATACTTTGTTGAGATAATTCACATACTATAAAGTTCACTATTTAAGGTGAGGTGATTTTTCAGAGTTGTGGAACCAACACCATAATCTAATTTTGGAAAATTTTTGTCATTCCCAAAAGAAACCCTATACCCACTAGCCATCATTTCCCAATTTTCTCCCATCCCCTCAGCCTCTGACAACCACTAACCTATTTTCTGCCCCTATAGATTTGCCTATTCTAGACATTTCATATAAATGGAAACACATAATATGTAGTCCTTTGCGACTGAATTCTTTCATTTAGCGCAATGTTCTCAGGCATCAGTACTCAGTTCCTTTTCATTGCCAATTAACATTCCATTATACGGATATACTATGGTTTTGTTTATTCATCAGTTGATTGACATTTGGCTTATTTTCATTTATTTGGCTATTATGAATAATGCTGCTATGAACATTCATGTACACGTTTTCGTGTGGATGTAATTTTCATTTCTGTTGGGTACTTACCTAAGAGTACAAAGGCCAGGTCATATGGTGACTGTTTTTCAAAGTGGCTGCACAATTTTACATTTTCAGCAGCAATTTGTGAGGGTTCCAATATCTCCACTTCCTTGTCCATACTTTTTTGTGTACTTTTTATTATAGCCATCATGGTAGATGTGAAGTGATGTGATTTTAATTTGCATTTCCCTAATGGTTAGTGATGTAGACCATCTTTTAATGTGTTTATTGGCCATTTGGAGAAATGTCTGTTCATATCCTTCATGCATTTTAAAAATTGGGTGAGTTATCTCTTTATTATTGAGTTGAAAGAGGTTTTTAAAAAATATTTTCTGGATAGAAATCCCTGAACAGGCATACAATACTTTTTATTGGTGTCATTTGCAGCACAAGTTTTAAATTTTGATTAAGCCCAATTTATCTATTTGTTTTTGTTGCTTGTGCTTTTTGGTATTATATCTAAGAAACCATTGCCTAATTTAAGGTTGTGAATATTTACTCCTGTTTTCTTCTAAGAGTTTATAATTTTAGTCTTTACATTTAGGTCTATGTTGGAACTTAACCCCCAGTATGGTGGTGGAGGGTGGGTCCTTTAAGAGGTAATTGGATCTAGAGAACTGTGCCCTAGTGAATGGATTGATCCGTTCATGGACTAGTGGGTTGATGATTTAATGTGTTGTCATGGTTGTGGTTCTGACGGCTTTATAAGAAGAGTGAGTAAGAAGGTCAGTTCTCTTGCTCTTGCCACCCTCACCTGTGTTGCCACAGGATGCTGTAGAGAGTTCCCACCCAGAAAAAAGCCCCGCAAGGTGTGCTCCCTGGATCATGGACTTCCCAGCTTCCAAAACTTTAAGAAATTTTATTTCTTACAAGTTACTCAATTTTAGTTATTGTTATAAGCAACAGAAAACAGACTAAAACAATTTGTGATTCATTTTGCATTAGTTTCTGTGTGCAGTGTAGGAGGTAAGTGTCCAACTTTATTCTTTTTCATGTGGATAAAGCCAGTTGTTCCAGCGCCGTTTTTTGGTAAGATTATTTTTTCCCCATCAAATGGTCTTTGTACTCTTGTTAAAAATCAGTGACTTTAGATATAAGGATTCTTTTCTGTACTCTCAATTCTCTTCCATTCATCTATACAAGTATGTCTAGCCTATGTCAGTGCCACACTCTCTTGATTAGTATAGCTTTGTAGTAAATCCAAGTCAGGCGGTGTGAGTCCTCCAACTTTATTTCAAGGTTGGTTTGGCTAT